TTTTCCTTCTCACATGAGTTCAGAAAACTTCAGTAGCCTTCAAATGACAACCAAAGTCTGCAGGGTGCTCAGCTGGCCTGGGGTCGCTGGGAGGAAAAATAAATGCTTAGACCCATGCTTTTCGGTTCCTAGGAGGCTGAGGGGACCATGATGAGAGGCTGCAGTTGAGCAGGAAGTGAGTTCACAGCTGGTTGTTAGAAGGATAGCTTTTATTGAAAACACAGTATACGGATAAAGTGCCAAGAAAAGGGGGAATTAAAAGGACAGTGGAGTTCTGGCTGTGCACCAGACTGGTCAAATGCAGCAGTGGAGGTAGCTGTGGGAAAAAGAGGTAGGGAAGTGAAGAGCAATGCGCTGTGGGATGCTTGCACAATTGACTGATCCATGCCTGGTGTCCACATATAACATGGAACCAGTTCAGTAAACAGAGCACTCAAAAAGAGTACTTGATTTTCCAGGTATACTTTTCAACCATTCTAGGCAGCTTTTAAACCAGTTTAACAGGCTTGAATGCCTGTCTGCTTCAGGTTTAAACTGCATTTAAACTGGTTTAAGTGTCATGTGTGATTATACCTTCTGTAAACCACTGTGAAACAGTAGACCCAAATCATCTGTATCCTGAGCCACTTTCACTGGCTCACCATGCCCTCCAGAACCCATGTATCAATGCCTCACACCAGTTAGCTCTAGCTGCCCTCACCAGGCTCATCTATCTCCCTGTTCTCTCTTGTTGGCTAGGGACAGACATTACACATAAACTGGTTTAAGTGATCAGATACTGATTTAAACCTGTAACAGAACAGACATTCAGTGCACATAAATCAGTTTGAAAATGGCTGAAACCGGTTTGAGATAAACCTGGTTGAATGTAGTATCAGACTTAACTGATTTGGATCAAACCAGTTTATGCAATGTCTTTCCCAGACCCTTTGCTGGTTTAAGATAAACCAGAGTACTCCAGCATCCCAGCATGCTCTCTAGGCAGGGCTCTGCTCTGCTCCAGAGATGGGCTGGCCCCTCCCTTCTGCTTTCTAGCCAGAGTAGGGAGGGACATGGCGAGACACCAGCTTGTATGGCCCAGTTAAGGAAAAGTGGGCAGGGAGGGGATTAATTCTTCCCTCCTTCCCCTCCTCCCCCAATGCAGCCGGGTCTGCGTGTCAGCCAGGGAGCAGAGGAGAGGGGGCTGCGGCAGTGGCCTCTGGGGCTGGCAAACCCTGGCTGCAGGGCAGAAGGGACGGAGAGAGCAATTAACCCTTCTCTTTGCCCCCTTCACCTTAAAGGCACTGTGCCGGGATGGTTGTCCTGCAGGGCAAGGAGGGGGGCTCTGTTCTGTGCTGAGGGGGACTCTTCCTCCTGCTCCTCCTCCTCCCCCCAGGATGGGGAAGGGGGGGGTCAGTGGGGCACTGGAGCAGGACTACTCCTCCTCCCCTCCCCCCCCGCCAGGGCTGGAGGTGGGGCCTCTATGCAAAGCTGCCTGAGACAGAGGGGGACTCGGGGCCTCTTCCCCTTCTCTTCCCCCCGTGGCTGTGGCTGCAGCTGTTACAGCCACTCCCCACACCCTGGCCAGGCAGTGCCGCACAGAGCCCCACTCACCCCGTGAGGGGTGGGGAGGAGAATAGCAGAGGGAAGAATCCCCCTCTGTGGCTAGGGCCACGCAGCCTTGCACAGAGCCCCCTTCGTGTTTTCCCCCTGCTTCTTGCCCACCACAAGAGGTTGCGGGGGGGACGGGACACGACTCCATGCAACGCTGTCCGGCCTCAGATAGGGCACAGGGAGTGGCTTTAATGTAGCCGCAGCTGCTGGGGGTGGCCCCAGCCCCAGGGCCCAGCCCAGCCTTGCTCAGCCCCAGCTAAAGCAGCTGCTTGGTGGAGCTGGGCCAGGCGGCTGCAGCTCAGTGACAGAGAGGTGAGTGCAATGGGGCAGCTGCTTCCCCTGTTCGCAAGCACAGCCCAGCAGGGCTGGCCGGGCAGTGGCTTATCTGGGCCCACTCAGAGGCACCGCAGGCCCAGAGCCCAGCAGCCACCCACCATAGAGGCTTGCTGAGGTTCCATGGTTATGCAAATATCATAAATACCAGCTTTATGTTAGGTAAACAACATGGAGATAGACTTTTGCCTGTTGCCTTAATCTTGTGTATTAACTTGGTGCTTTTTTTGTGTACTTACTGAGTTTTGCTCTTAAGAAACTCCATTTTGTATTACTCTGTAGCTGGACATAAGTTCTCAACCTTTCACTCCTTCGTATGCTGTATGTGTGTGATGGTATGGGTAAGAGTGTGTTTGTGGAAAAGGAAAACACCAGGTGGCGACTGGCTGAAGAATGCAGACAAATAAGAGACCAAAACAAGAAGAATCTGCCTCAGAACAATGAGAGAACAACATAAATTGACCTTCAAGGAGAAACACAGTGATAACATGGCAAAAGCCCAGGGCACTGGATGAATTAACAAAACTATAAAACGTGGGGCGAGACATGCTGATTTTGGGTCTTGTTCTGCATAACATTCTGGAGCATCAGTTTGCCTGATGAGACGAACTGACAGAAGCCTGGCTCCTACTCATGTTCAACCTAGCTGGCCACTAAGTTGACTCGAGCCCCGATGAGATGGGCAACATATACCAGTGCAAAACAGAAGGGAGGTAGGTGTGTGTGTGTGTGTGTGTGTGTGTGTACACTAAGCGCTTAACCAATAAATGCAGCGTCTTGCCTTGCCCCCTCTTACAAAGGTCTCACTCTTTATTTTGAGCTAATCGGATAACACCATGAGCCCCTGCAGTGCCTCCAAGTGGGCCCAGATAAGCCGCTGCCCAACCAGCCATTGGCTGCACATGCCGGGGGCTGTGCTCACTGACAGGGGAAACAGCTGCCTGGCTGTGGTCGCTTCCCCGGTGACTGAGCTACACCCACTGGGGTGGCCCCATCCCCTCAGCCTGGTCCCACCAAGCAGCTGCCTTAGCTGGGGATGAGAGAGGCGAGGCCAGGCCAGGCTGAGCCACAGGGCTGGGGCCACCCCTGGCAACTGCAGCTCCGTTAAAGCTGCTCTCTGTGCCCCGGCTGGGCCAGGCCAGGGAGCACTGCAAGAGCCTCCCCTCCCTGTCCTATGGCAGGGGGGGGGGAGGGGGGGGAAGAGTCCCCCTCTGGGGCTGGGCAACATCCCATAGAGCCCCCCTCCCCATCCTGCAGTGATGGGGGAGAAGCAGGGGAAAGAGGCCTCCTCTAGGGCCAAGCAGCCTTGAAGTGCCCCTCTCCCCACCTCACGGCAGCAAGGGGGGAGGAAGAGAAGGAGGGAGAAGAGCCCTCCCCAGCACCTAATAGAGTCTCCCTCCCTCCCCCTCAGCTCAGCTTCCCTGTGCTGGGTTCTGACTTGAGCCACTGCAGGCACATGCTGAACGTCTATCTACTTCCAAACCAGTTCATTCTCTGCAGGTTAGGCAAACCTGCAAAGACTGAATCAATGCTGGCTTGGGCTTTTTGAATGTCTGTCCCTAGCCACCAAGGCTGACCTCAGTTTCATTGCTAGTGCTGCAAAAGCCTTCTTTACAACTCCTGCCCCAAGCACAGAGCCTCTGAATCTCCCCCATCCCTTTCAGATCCTAGCAGTACGTTTCCGTCTTCCTCACAGCCTATGTCTCTAGGTTCTTACTTCTTCTATCCTATTTCTTTCTGTAATGGGACTGTTGAAATCTGGAAAAAGCGTTTTGGGATAGGGCCTATATAAATAGCTGGCCTCAGTGCCCCCCTATCCCCTCTGTCCCTGCCATCATGGCAGCTCTCCTCAGAGGCACCACCGGCACCTGCAGTCCAAATGCTCTTGGCCAAGACAGCCAATCAGAGTGGGCATAAAGCGTTATAGACAGACAGACAGACAGACAGACAGACTAAAGCTTTTATAATATTAGAATACTAGACAAAGTAAAGCCACACAAGTCAAGATTCTCTTCTAGGAAATGAGAAGAGGCAAGTAATTTCCAGCTGAAGGTACAGCAAGTGTCTGTAAAACCTAGAGACACATACAAGATGACATAAGAAGATTCACTTAAGCAATAGGATAACTACGATACAAACATTTATCACAGAGCCCTAAAGCTTGGATTTCCAGAAGGCCCCTTTTGACATGCTCAGAAAAAGACCACTAACTATCTATATTACCCCTTTCTCCCAGATCCACTTACACCTACCAAAAAAATGTAATTCAAACAGAAACTTTAAAAATTATTTTCACAGGAGCCCCATCACAACATAGGTAAGTTTATGGAGGTCAATGGAGTTACTTCAGGCTAATGCAGATATGACAGAGAGCAGAATTTGTCCATACATATACCTTAGAGCTACCAAGCCACGCCATCTGAACTGTTAAAATGGAAGATAAAATAGTCTGGTTCAAATTATTTTGCTTGAAAATTTGATTTTTTTAAAACTAAACAATAATTTCCCCAAAAAGTTCAATTTACTTTCCATGGAAAAGTTTTGTTTTTCCATTGTAAAAACCACATCCCCATAACTTGAACATTTTCCATTTGGAAGTGTTGCTTGGATACCTAATGGGAGTCATAGTCTAGCTGCTTCATGTTTTGTCCTCTATGGGCCAGGAGCCCAGACTGAGCACGTCTCGCAGGATCCATAAAGGCGATATAATACTCGTGGTGCACTTTCTTGTCACAGCAAGTATATTATAAGAGATGTAATCTAGTCAGTAACCCAGCACACAAGAGGAAAATGGGGCTTGAAGCACCTGAACTGCAGTTCCCAGGGGGTGCTACTGTGGTGACTCATTAATTTTTTTCAGTTTCCTGCTTTTAAAAAATCATTTTTTTCCCTTGAGACACCTGTGGAAACTTATTTCCTAGTGAGTCCTAGATACACATATATGCTTGGATAATGAACATACCATATTAGATTTCCCAGAACAGAAGCAAGCCTTGCTAGTCTATTGCCGTTTGAAATGTGTGCTGAAGGGCAACCCAGTGTTAGATATGAAGGAGAAGGAAATGCTGGCCTACCTGGGGCAATTTCAAAGAGGTGTTTTCCTGGTTCATCAAGATTAGGTGCCAGCTCGCTCACCTGATTGCCTTGTAGTGGAATGAAACCCTGTAAGGGACACAGAAATACCAGTGAAGGGGGAAAGGCCAGGAAGAGGGGAAGGAAAGGAATATAACACATAGCAAAGTTTGGTAGATATAAATCCCTCTCCCCCACTGAAATGGCTCTTCTCCTTTCCACATTTTGCACCTCCTTCACTTCCGTCTTGTATGTCATTCCTTCTTTCTCCAAGTTAATTTGCCATATGCCTGTCTCTTCTGTCATCTCTCATGACCTCATCACCGTGGATATGACAGCCTTCTCCTCTACGGTAAACACTATTATTCAGTGAGCCCCAGTATACTCAATGCTGTATGAACAGAGGCATTTGCTTCCCCAAGGATCTCAACACTGGGCACACAACCACCACATCTTCCACGTGGAACACTATCCCTGTATCTACGAATCTCATTAGCACCACCTCTTCTTAACTTCTCATCTAAAAACATATCCGTTCTCTTAGTTTTTCTCTCACTTCAGTTGTGGCCCCAAATCCAACCTTTTCAGTATCAGATAGCTAAAAATTCAACACCTACCATCCATATTTAAGCATCTGAGTAAGTGGCCTAATTTTAAGAAATGCAGCATGGAGAAAGTCCCACAAAGTCACCAGGTAGAACAACTGATCCAAGTTCCCTTCAGTCTTGAGGGAGGGCCATTAGATCCAAAAGTCAAATGCCATATGGACATCTTTCTAATTGGTAAACCTTGAGCTTTATACAGGGTTAAACCCCTCAGTTTGCTTTCAGAGGCAAATGCCACCAGAGCTCATGATTGTTTGTAGCTGGGATTTTGCTTGAGCCTAGCTTTAGCTTTAGCGTATTGTAGCTCAGATTTAGGAATTTTGGAGTAGGCTAAACAAGAGCCCCCAGATTTCAAGCAATTTAACCTGCAAAAATCAAAGGCTTCTTCAGGGGAAAGCTAAAAAAAGAACTTTAAGAAGCAATATCAGTCAACTGATTGTATTGGATAGGACTCACCTAAGCAAGTTCATGCTCCAGGTAGTCATTCTCTGGCTAGGATAAAAATACACGAGTCACCACTCTCCTCAGACTCCAGACCAGATCACCAACCAGGACTAGTGATAAAGACCAACCCACCATGGCTTATCAGCATCTGGGTAGGGACAGTGATAATCTAAAAAGATCTTCTCATTGTCCAATGGGCTTTTAGAAGGATGTATGGCCAACTGCCAATGTTGGCTAGCTGGATCCCTGCACTAAGCAAAGGAAGGTCCCTCCCATTTGATGTCTACTTGCAGGAGATCAGGGGACATTAAGTGCTAGCTAAGGAGTTCCCATTTTAGGTTCTTAGGAATCTACGTAAGGTGAAGTGGGTAGGAAAATGCCAAAATGGACTGGCAAGGTGGGCTGGGGGTAGGGAGGGGAAGGGACCCCAAGTAAGTCCCCACTCCAGTCTCCAGAAAGTCAAACTACACTTACAGTGACTGAATTACAGGACTTTTCTTTTTCTTTTTTTCCTGACAGCACCCAACAATCAGGCTACAAACCAGAACACTAAACAACACAACACTTACCCTTCATGAGTCATCTATATTCATGCACATTCCCAGTACACATGCCTGATTATTATCTTTTCTCAAATCACTTTAACAATTGCTAAGCCCAAGAGACATTGGAACAAACAGAATATCGGTAACTGAAATCAATCCCAATTAAATTTCTTGTCTGCTTCCAGGCTCGTGCCATTGAAGTAACATAATTTTGGTATTTGATGGCAGAAGAGGGAAGCAAGGATTTCAAATAAAGGAATAAAATCTTCCATGTAATCTTTGCAGTCTTGCTTTTTGTGAAGCAGGAAAGCCAGTAAATTAATTTTTCCATTAAATCTGTGTTGTTGTATATTTTTGCTTTATCATTGCCTCTCCAAATAATGTCTTCTGTACAGACACTTTAATGAAGAAATTACTATAATAAACCAAGGAGCCAGCTGGCATTAAATGTAAGTGAATTAAATTTTATTCTTCTCTTTAAGCATAGAACACTGAATTTACCAGGCATAAATTACTGAAGTAGCAGTTCTTGAACTGGAAAATATTTTCAGGTGGAAATTAAGCTTTGATTCCTCTTCAGGATTCACCTCCATACAATCCGCTTCATTAAAATTATTTGCTCCTTTGAATGGATCAATATGCTGTAGACAAGGAAAGCCTCACTAAAGTGTGGCAGAGCTCCACACCTAACAAAGCGAGGTGGGATGGCAAACAGCTTCCCTCGCTCACCCAGCCATTAGACTTGCATTAGAAGACTGTTCATGACAAGGAACATCAGTAAAAATCTAGAGTAAGGACTCCCAAGCCACTGAGCAAGCAGTCCTTTAAAGAGTTAGTGTTATGCCACTCCAATGACTGACATGGTACAAACCAATGCCGAGTCTGTAGGAACTGAAGTCCTGTGGACTAATAGTTGACTTAGAATTTGTAACTTTTAGTCTAAGGAATTGAAAATGCCATCCCTGCACCTGCCAAATACATGCTGCTCACCCTATGTTAATATAACATTAACCATTAAAAAACATAGAAAAGCAGGAAATGTAAAAGTTAAGGTTCTAAGAGTGGCTAATATGTCCACATATTAAATAACTGATGATAAACATTACTGCTGGTTGTACTGCAGAA